TTTTTTTTTTTAATTTCTTGTTCATACCTCCCTTATCTCTCTGTCCATAACTTGTCTCTTTAACACAGTTTATCTTCAATTCTTGATCTCTTCTTCTTATTAAACTCCCCTTATATATATTTTCCATTCCCCCCTCATCACTCCACAGAACTCACTACACATAATTCATTTCAAGATTTTATCTGACAACTCCCATTTTCTTGCCTTTTGTCTTAATTTCTTTTTTGATAATTTCCCTTTTCTTAGTTTCCCTGACAATGTCAAGCAGAAGATCACGTTCTAGACAATCTTCAGGAGTTTCCAGAATAAGTGATGATCAAATCGCCGATCTCGTTTCTAAGTTACAACAACTTATTCCTGAAATCCGTAATAGGCGTTCTGACAAGGTAACCATGAAAAATTATTTACACCGTCAGCGTACATAACATAAATTTATTTTTTACTATATCTTTGGTCTTTTTTTCCTTGTCTTCTTTTAATTTATTACTTCACCATATGTATATGTGTGTGGGTGCAAATATATGAGACGCATTTCCAAGAAACTTCCCATATTTTGTGTGGCCTTTCTTTTCCTTTTAGAGATAAGTTTGAGGGTGACATTTTCATGCCCACTAGTTAGCCCACAAGTCCTCATTAATATCAAGCCAAAACGTAGTTGTCTTGTTTGCTGCCTCGACACATTCCTTTTTTTTCCCTCAATAACATTTCATATAAAAAGAAAGAGCGCAAAGTCGCGGCCTAACATGAAGTAATTAACTCCAATGACGTAAAGCAAGGAATTGAGCCTGTATTGTGTTCAATAATACAACAATAGCTTTCTTGAATAGGGATATAGAAAGAAGCTAATAGCCGACAGGCTTGCTTGACCTATTGAATTACCAATATAGGGTTTTTACTGCCAACAAGATGATATGGAGCCCCTTTTGAATTGGTTTACGATTCGAAAGTTCTCGCGAAAAGAATAAGATGTAGACCTCATATATAAGCAACTATATTTTTTTAAGAATAAGATGTTGCTTCCTCGTAAAAGAATTTTACAAAAGCTGACATCCTTAGTACGTGATAACTACATAATATCCTTAGTTTCATTCTTTTTAAGTATCAAAATGGAATTAACTGTTACCTCAATATAGATTCTTGGTTGAAAGTCACCTATATATGCACCATTTTCCCTACATTTAAGTTCTTTTGTGTTAGAGTAAGAAAAAGGGTGATCAAATTTAGCTAGGTTTCTAACATTTTTTATGGCTTTATTTTATTAAATTAAACAGGTTTCAGCTTCAAAAGTGTTGCAAGAAACTTGCAACTATATAAGGAATTTACACAGAGAAGTGGATGGGCTAAGTGATAGATTATCACAGCTTTTGGAATCAACTGAAAGTGACAGTGTTCAAGCTTCTATTATTAGAAGCTTACTTATGTGATGATAGCAACTTCAATTAGTAGCTATATATTAGCTCAAATTCTACTTAATTAAAATTTCTATTAAGATGCAGCAGTTATTATTTATTAATTAGGGTTTTGGCCACTAGGTCAAAGTAGGAGAGGGACCATGTACTTGGCTCCATTCCAAGGGGTTTTTTCTCCCTTTTTTTTTTTTTTATAATTTCCATCCGATGTCGAGTGCCTGTTTTGGGGCTGATTAATTCGGATTCGCGTTGTGCTTAGACTAGCTAGCATTAGCAAGCTATGTCACATATATAGATTTAAAATAAGAGAGACGCCCCTTTATCTACATAGATTTGCCAATTTGTTTTATATATTAGAGTAGTTTTTAATTTACTGATGTTGTATTGTTGTATCCATCCATTTTAAAAGCTGGTGCTAGTTTGATCTCAGCCTTAATTTGTTAAGTATATAAGTATTCAAGATATTTTTATCATCTAATATCGTGTTATCCTCCCCCCCCCCC